TATTATTATTATTAATAGTTTATTATAGTGGAATCTTTATTAGTTTCAATTATATGATATTATTATTTTTAGTATTAGTATTGTTTAACAATTTGGATATTGTATTGTTTAATAATTAGGATATTAATTTGTTTATGTTTTTATTATTATTATGTTTACTTTTAATTTGTTTATATTTATGCTAAAGGGAGTTAAAGCGGACTTCCGGTGGTGACAGGCTGCATCGCATGGCGGCTTTTGTTAGCCGCCTGCCTGGGAGCGCGTCAAAGCCTGAAGAGACAGCGTTCGTTAGCTGTCTCTCGGCTCGGAACCTCGTCCCTCGGGCAAAGAGGGGGGGGTGAGTAAGTCCGGATAGGGCTCGAGCTTCCTCTCACCCCGGTTTTGTTATAATCGGGGTTGAGAGATGCTAGCTCGCCCGGAGTCTGGACGGTCTCCGCGCCCTATGGCGCCTTCACTCCTCTTTTGGAGTGAAGCCAGATGCAGCTCCCACCTCTGCTGTTGGAAGGTATTTGGACTTAAATTTTAAGCAGACGGAACTAAACAGGAGGTTCGGATTTACAGTGGATTATTTCTGACTTTGACTCTGAAATATACTAACATCTTCTTTATTTTGTGGTGATTTAAAGTGAGAGAAAATGGCTGCGGACTTGCCGTTTCTCTGGAATACTTTCGTTTGTTTTTTTTTTACTTTCACTTTTTTTTTGGCCACTGACTGGAAAGAGATATATTGTTACTTCTCCGGCTCTGGAAAGTTTTAGCTGCAATGAATTTGTGGTGTATACTGGCTGGTGATATTAATACTGCTATCCTTTTGGATTAATGAAGTATATTTAAAGAAATTTGGAAGTTTTAAAATGGCTGCGGATCTGAGGAAAAAAAAAGAGCGAGAAAGAAATTTTTCTTTTTGGTTGCTGAGTGGATCTCATTGAAAATGTCTTTACTTTTCATTATGAATGACCTACAGAATGTTTTGATACAAGCAGTCAAGCAATACAGTGTGGAAGTTAAAAATCTATGTCTTAAGAGATTGGAAGAATTATATGGAACTGTGGCATCTGCTCTCCAGAAGTTTATAGTTTAAGATTTTATTGAGCAACGGGTGGATAAAGTATGTGAAGAGGTTGAAGAAGATGTCTTGGAAATATTCCAAAATGATATGCCATGTTATGGAAATTTGGAAAGTGAAAAGTTTGAAAAGTTGGGAAAAGAAGCGGTAATAGACTTGGTTATGGTTTGGGTGTGCCTCCCTAGTGAAATTTTGAGAAAAAAAGGTTTATATAGAATCCATTTTTGGGTCGTACACCAGAGAAAACCAGCTGAAGATGTTGCCGTTTGTGCTCTTGGAAGAAGTTTACAGGCTTACTACTTGTA